TTATTAACAATATTTAAAAACTATGGCATTTTCTTTTTTATAAAGTATCTATAAATAAGTATATATAATAAATATACTAAACTAAGTATCTATAATAAGTATTTATACTTATCTATAAATTTTAAAACCTTTTGTCAAGTACATTAGATTAGATTATGCTGGCAGAACAAAAAGGCCACGCGTTGACCATTAAGGTCCATTGCGATACCAGATCAGAGTTTTATTTTAGCGATTGTATGCATCACTTACGATGCGAGATTCATTAGCAAAATTTATTAGGATTCCAACAGAAACCTCAGGTATGTGCTCCAGTCCTCTAATACTGACAGCCCCCAAGTATTTTTGTCGAGTTCTCGAGAGAGCCGGGCAAGTACACAGTAGATGTTTCCTTTGCATTCAGCTCGTTGCATTTCCTTCAAGCATCGCTGTGAATTAGGTTTAGTTTTCGGGCATGTGATGCGACCAGACAGTGACCTATCAACACACCAATTAATGTTCTACAGTTCCTTTGGTTATTGTCAAGTACATGTTTGCATATATATTGTGATGTAAAGTCTTAAAACAATTACTTTAAATCTATTAGAGTCGGATTTGTGTCCAGAACTTAAGTCTATACTGACTTAAGTCTCTGTACTTTATGCTTAAGTCATCAAGTTTTCTAACTGCATATACTTAAACCAGTTTTGAAATTACAGTTAAGACTGTGGAATCTATTCCTAAATTTGAACATTTTTAAATTCAATTTTTTCTTTTATATTTTAAGATCTCAACCGATTCTCACCTGTAAATCAATGACAAAAGTTGATGATAAATTTATCTATGAGACAGAGAAAGATAATTCACATAATAAATTGTTAAAACAAATCCAAGGCGGTGTAAAATTGAAACCCACAAAAACACATGATCGCAGTAAGCCGTTTATAGAGGGTCTCAGAAAATTCCGCAAGCAAATGACAATTGAAGAGCAATTACAAAAATCACAATCAAAAATAAATATGCTAGGCGAGGTAACACTACTAGTTTTCGATTTTAGAATATAACCATTTCATTCAATAATTACACATCACACTTATTACAGGCACCCAGCAGTATAGCTACTAAAGATGAAGTTGGCTCTTCAAGCGGTATTGTAGCTGCGCTATCAATCGATGATCCAAGCGGTGATGAACTCGACGATATCGATAACATACGCGACGATCTGCAGAGTACAAAGCAAATGTTGGCACTCGAACTGCGTACTCGTGAAGCACAAGAACGTGAAAATAAAAAACTCTTGGCAAAAATTGCAACACTCGAAGCTGAATTGGAACGTGAGAAATCACGTGAAAAGAATTTGGAATATGGATCGAATGTTATAGTAGCAACTATGGATGCAACACCAGGGAAAGAAGAACTTTATGTGCGCTCACTGCAAAAAGAAGCAGAAGAATCGCGTAACGCTTCAAGTGAATTACAAAAGAAATATTTGGATACTGGTGAACTCCTTGATCAGGCCAAGAGTGAAATTGAAGAACAGAAACGACAAATACAAATGTTGGAACGTAAGTTGGCGCAGGCATTACAGGTAAGGGATCGTATTTCGTCCATTTTTTAAAAGATAGCAACTTGCTTTATATTTGCTTAATATTATTTTTTATTTTGCTTGTTACTTTTAAATGCTTTTGCTTTACCATAAAAAGAGTGAGCTAACACCCAATACTAAAGCTTCCCAATTTAACTTTTGCTACGCTTATGAAGATCCACATGACTATGACACATACTATGAAGCAAATGCTATACATTACAATAAGTGGCAGGTAAAAACAGAATGCGCTTTACTTAACTGAAATTATCAAAATAATAAGCATCAAGAAAAACTGTTTAGAATATAATAATATTAATTTTCCTCGTATTTACAGGGCGGTGGTTCAATTGGTGGTTCGAGACGCGCTAGTGAGGCACATTTAGGACGTGACAGTTCACCTGAATTCGATGTTGAACTTAGCGAAAGTGATCCAGACGAACCTGAAGAAAAAAAAACTGAACGACGTGAACGACGTTTAGTTAAGGAAGTGAAAGTACTGCGCAAGAAACTAACAATTCTCAAAGTCAAACAGGAAGCAGCTAAGAAGGAAAAAGTGGCCTTGAAACAGGCAATGAAGAAGAATCATGTTATTCTTAAGTAGGTTTATAAGATATATACTTGATGTTTTATCTGTCATGTGATTAATTTTACAGGGAAGAAAACAAAAAATTCAAAAAATTGGACAAAGAAGTTCAAAAAATGGCGAAAAATATGGAAGAGGAACCAGACTTCGACGATTTGGACGATGATGAAGAGAAACCTGTAAGTTTTAGAAATTTGCTGTATATAAGATGTAGTAGCTTACAATTTAGATAATTAACTAGGAACTATTTTGTTTAAGCAGATACAAGAGTATTAAATAATTAATGGTGTGATGATGTGTAAATAAATATTCAGAAATAAGCTAAATAACAAGTTTAACAATTAAGAGTTAAATGTTAATAGTTATTGTATACAAACACAATATAAATAATTTATAGTCTAAGGTATGTATATAGACACAAACTAAATAATTAAGACACTAGGGATCACTGTTCGATCGTTGTGAATTCCTAGGAAAGCATAAGACAATCATCAAGAAAATTTAGGACAATATGTTCAGAATCACCACATGGATACTTTGAATCACTTTGAATTCAGGTTCAGGTTTATCTTTGTTGCGTTGATTTTTTCAATTGACCTATTTAACCTATTTAAGCATATTAAAATTACATATTTCCCGTGGCAATTTAGTTTTATTAAATATGCAACTAGTGACAATATTGGAATACATCTTTCAGCCATCGCACTATTTTTCGTTCATTTCGAATAAGAGATCGTATAGATTTTTGGCTATATGCGTGGAGATTATTCGAGATCTTAATTTTGGACGGAAGAATTGGCTCACTTACTATTTATTAGAATATTTCTAGTGTTAATGACTTTGTTGTATTTACGAAGGAAAGCTTATTTCTTTTATAGTTCGGGAGAAACAATAATATAAGCAGCCACTTTAAAAGTATTGAAGAGATTGTAACACGTATGATAAGAAAAGCAATCGTTATTTTAATCGTACTGTAATGAACTCCTGGTTTTAATAAAAAACTGTTTAATATTAAATTTAAGATTTATTGCCATTTAAAAAAAAACTATTCTCATATCTGTTTTATGAGACTATGAGACTTTGTTCTTCATTTTCTTCTCGTAATGGAAAACGAGTTGGTGCCTAAAGCACATAAACTCCATTGATAAATGGGTTTGAATTATTCAGGTTATTATATAGAAATAAAGTTTGCAGTTGAGCAAATCTTTCTGACGAAATATACATATACTGCATTTGTTTTATGAAAGTGCAATTTTCTGTCTGTTATTTACTTTTACGCACTCTCGATTCTCAAATTCTTGTAATATACCCATAAGTTGCTGAAAGGAGTCACTAAAAATTTAGTAATAGACTATAACAACTTAGTTAATATCATATCCCAAAAAGAACATTTTTTGTATCTCTGAGCACGCTTAACGATGAGCACCATTTACACGTCTGTACAGATCGGCTGCGGAATGTCGACCCGGCCATTCCCGGAACTGAGATTTAGTATATCTTGGTAATTTTAGACAAAAATAATTAGCTAGTTTACATTATATTCTTATATTCTTAATAAAGTACCCTTATTTATTTCAATAGTATATATTATAATATATATTATAATAATATATAATCTTAAGTGAGCGATAAAAGAATAATAGTTGAGCTTATCTTTCTTTTTGTTAATTCTTTCAAAATTATTTGAATATATTTTCCACTCATGACATTATTTTTGTTTATATTAATAGAAAGCAGACAATGAAGCTGAACAATCAGATGAGGAAGAGGAAGAAGAGGAGGAATCTGAGGAAGAATCCGAAGAATCAGAATCAGAAGAGAGTGAAGCTGAAACAGAAAGTGAAAGTGAAGCAGAAGTAAGTGTAAAAAAAAATAGTTTTTTTAGAATTACCATTAATTAAAATTTTTGTCTTACAGGACGCAACAAATACTGACAAGAAAAATAATTTGGAACCACGTGTGAAGAAACATGAAAGCCGCCTCTCAGCCATGAAGAAATGCAATGTGCTCCTACAAGCAAACGTAGATAATTTACAGGATGAAATCACACAAGTACGCGCCAAGGCAGCCAATTTACAAGCCGAATTAGACGCAGTACTGGCAGATTTAGGATTTTAAATTATAAACGTTATTTTAGCAGAGAACTTATTGTGTTAACTGTTTTGCTTTTTTTTTAGGTATTTTATATTCTAATTGACTTGTATTTATTAAATATAATAACAATAAAACATATATATGTTAAAAAATAAAATAGTTTGGCTTACCTGATTTGTGTTATAGTTTTATATTGATAAATATGAATATGAATAATATAAACTGCAAAAACGTGTTATATTAACACCAATTCACAAAACTTGAGGAAATTCCACGTACGCCGGTAGTTTTGCTACTCCAACAATGTTCACTTCTGCTGTAGTAAGAATCAACAGAAAACAATTTTTATTAAATAGAAAGCAAATATACTTTTTAAAACAAATTGTTATTAATAATTTTGCACTTTTTTATTAAAACTTTACAAAAGCAAATTAAAATCCACAACACAAAAACAAAAATGTTTGTTTTTAAATTTGGCACCGGCCTTATGTCACTGCGTGGTTGCTATGACAACTACAGCTGTTCGCATTGCCAATATTAGTACAATTATTTTGAGAAATAGAATTGGCACTGAACGTACGCCTTGTAGAGTGTGTGTGTGTATGTTCATTTGTTTTGAAGCGTAATACAGTGCTTGCAAGTAATAAATTTTGCTGCTGCGTTTATTTTCAAGCCTTTAGTGTTAAATTATTTAATAATGTAATATTTTATAAAAGATTTACTGAAAATATAAAAACAAAATGCTTGTAATGTGCTATTATAAGTACATGCAAGCGTTTTAACGTTATTCGGCATGTGCAAACGTACGCAGACATTTTAGCAAAAATCGATTTTTCAAAAGTACGTTACCATAAACGCTTTAAGCATTTAAATTAAATTTAAAGGTAGTACATAATTTTTTTTTGTCAAAAGCTTTATTAAATAATTGAATTTTTACCTTTTAATTAAAGTTAGCCAAATTAGTGATACGTAATAGTAGTTAAAAAAATGTAATTAGTTATAATCCTTAAAACCATACAACGATACGCGAAAACATAAACCAAACGAAATGCCTGAAAATTTGGAATTACATCAATTTGTGGACGGTTTTCGTCACAGTGAAACCAGAAATCGTTGGCTATCACGCATTAAGTCGAAACTAAACTGTCCTTATTTAGGAATAATACTCGCTACACTCTCATCCTTATTTTTCTCACTTTGCTCCGTTATTGTCAAAGGTCTAGTTGATATCAATCCTATGGAATTAGCATCCTTTAGGTAATGTAATTCGTTAATCTTGTAATAATTATTTGAAAATTATAATTCACAGATTTGTTGGTGTGTTACTTCCTGCAATACCAATTGTCATCTATACTAAGCAACCCGTCTTCCCTGAAGGTAAACGTGTAATATTGCTCTTGCGTTGCTTTATGGGCACAACTGGTTTGATGCTCAGTTTCTATGCCTTCCGCCATATGCCACTGGCTGATGCCAGCGTTATTATATTTTCGACGCCAGTTTTTGTTGCCATATTTGCGCGCGTTTTCCTCAAAGAACATTGCAGTTTATTTAATATTTTAACTATAATATTAACACTGGTGGGTGTAGTACTTATCACAAGACCACCATTCGTATTCGGCCAACAAGCAACAACAGATGTGAATTTGGAACGTTTGGACGGGAAACACTATGATATTTGGGGTCCAGTTGCTGCTATATCCTCCACACTATTCGGTGCCAATGTTTATATACTACTGAGAGCACTTAAAGGCTTACATTTTTCAGTGATTATGACAAATTTTGGTGCATTTGCATTAATCTATACAATAATAGTGTGTGGCACAATAGGTGCCATATGTTGGCCAGCATGTGGACGTGATCGCTGGTTAGTTGTTGTATTAGGTATATTTAGTTTCTTGGGGCAAATATTGCTCACACTATCGCTACAAGTGGAACAGGCTGGACCAGTGGCCATAGCACGTTGTGCTGATATCGTTTTTGCTTTTATATGGCAGACAATGTTTTTTGGTGAAACTCCCACAGGATACTCACTCGTTGGCGCAATGCTGGTTGTCAGCAGTGTTATATTAACTGCTCTTAAGAAATGGGCTCTTTCGTTGCCCCGCGAATCAACGGCACGTAAACGTTTACGTTATTTGCTATTGGATTAAAAATTACTCAAGCTTTTGTGCGTTCACGAAACACAGAAGCAAGCATTGTGGTTTCTCTCATAGTTAATTAATTTAAGATATACTTATAAATATTAAGTTATATACGTATATATATATTTAAGTACATATGTGTTTCTGTATGTAATCAAATTTTTTAGTCAATTTTTTTTGTTTGGATTTGTTAACTAACTAAACAGAGGCTCGTTTATTTATTTATTATTTTTATTAACTCATATATACATAAAAGTCAAATAGTATTACTGATGTGATTTATGTACTTAAGTTGTCTAAGTTTTAAAGTAAATTCACGTTGAATTAGTGCAATTGTAATCAAATCTTTAAATTAAAATACCGACTATGTAGTAGGTTATTAGCCTGCATATGTATATGCTCAAGACAGTTTAACTTTATTGGTATTAGCTTGCATGGAAATATATTGAAATTAATACATAAAATATTAACTATTTTATCAACTAAAAATTTTCTACAAGATTGTAAAAAATTTTTAAATTAACTAGAATTTTTTTGACCAGTAAGACTTTCACTAATGGGAGTTTCTTTGTTCGTTTTTTGTAAGAACAATATCAAATTTAGCAAAATTATATAATATATAAAAAAATGTATATTTATTAAAATAATAAAATTTACTCTACTAAAAACTTTAAGCGTTTCTTTTTAAATTGCAATAAATATTATGGCCTAAATAATTGATATTTTATTCGACATGTTAAGGATTATACAGGATTTTATATTAAAAGTATGTAAAAATATGGCGATATAATTAAAAGGTCTGTTGCACGAGCTACTCGTAGTATCTTTGAGTAACACTGTGTATATGCAAGTGCGTTCCATCAGCAAATTTTCGAGTAAATGAGAGCATCTGAGAGAGCATAACATCCCTGACGAAATTTGAAAATGCTACACCGACTGTACTCATATATTTTATTTGAAGTAAAATTTGTGTGATGTGTGAATCAGAATCAGTTTTGGTTTGAATTTAAATTGTTGTATTGTTTATTTACGCGGCGTTGGTGTTCTCGCCAGATTTTACACAAAGCTGTTTCATGAAAATCTGTGTAAAGAGCGTAATTTGGCACTTTATTTGTGTCACACTGTCAGTTTGTATTTCACTTATGTTTTACGATTAGCTTGTGGAACAGTCCTGATATAGACTATTTCAATAAAGTATGTCAGTAAGGGAAAGAAAATACATTGTGAAACCAATTTCAGCTGTTGTTGTTCAGTGATCTTCCCTTATAATATAGACTTAAATCACAAATGAAGTAGTTGGTGTAGTTGATGTGATTGCTCAAGGCATCAGTTTTAATAAGAATGCAATGTTTTACTGTTTTTTGTTAAATATTTTACGAGTTATCATTAATAAATTGCAATTTATTATATTAAATCGTTGGTTACACAGGCCAGCAACTTCTTAAAGTTATAATTACGAACCCTGTAACTATATATGTCATAATATTAATAATGGTTGATAAAGGCTGTTTGGAATATGATACCAAATATATGAGACCAAATATTCCAAATGTAATGAATGAATTTCGGATTCTTTTTGTACAAAGCTAGTTGCCTGTTTAAAAAAATATCCCATTTCTTTATATAGAAAGGAGTCAGAATATAGTAGATGACAATTTATTTTCATATCAAGAAGTAGATTGCAATATAAATAATTAGCTTAACTCATACGGTCATTCAATTCACTGTACCATATGCTAATTTAAATTCAAATCAAAACAGCTGATTCACACATCAACACAAATTTAACTTATAATAAAATGCACGAGTTAAGTCTGTATAGCATTTTCAATTTTGAAAGGGATGTTGCGGTCTTTCAGATGTTCTCATTTACAGACCTACAATGAGATGTGGAACAGACCTGCAATGAGATACAAAGCACATAAATCATAATTTTATAAGAGCTTTAAAAGGAAATATATTAAAAATCAGTTGATCAGCGTTAAGAAATTGACGAATTTAGATTCTTTTAAATACTAACAAAAACTAGAGTAACCAAACAATTTAAATCTATATTTCAATATCTAATATATTAATTCTATTTATCGAATTTTTCAATTAACAATTCAGCTGTGAAAAAATATATTTGTTGGCTTTACATTTGTAATTTAAATGGTTTATATATGAATGTGATAGAACTAAAATCGCTTGTTTTCAATGTTTAAAAATTCTTCTAGAGAAACCGAGTAGTAAGTGATTGAAGTGAAAAAATTTACTTTAAAAATCATTAAATAACTTATTAAAATTAATTAATAGTTATAACAGAGAAACAATCTACAGTTTCCCTGGAGATGACTATTGAAGATAGTCGAAATATCAGAAAAATATTTTAATAAAATATTATTTGTATTTAAATATAAATAATAAATTATATCTTTTTTATTTCTATTTAAATGAAAAATTATACCGCTAATAAATTATTAGAAAGCGTTAATGATAAAATAATTCCAAAATGAAATATGTTCAAATTATGTGCTGAACACACCCTATCATTAATATTGACACGTTTTCTAAAATCTCCAGTGACTGTAAAACTGTTTACTGTCAACTCGTCAACTTGTTAAAAAATTAAAACTGATTGTGATATCATAACAACGAAATTTACGTATAAAGTTAAATAGGAAAAATTCTAAATAAAAAAAAAACAAAAATTAACAATATAAGTTCCAGTACAATGTCTGAGGGTAAAAGTAAATTTTTAAGTAAGGTGCTGGTAGTGTCTGCCGGATTGGGATTGTTATACATAATATCACGAAATAGACGTAAAATTTTTTCAATTTTTAACAAACACGGACACCCACTATATGGCCAAAGAATTGAATTAGTTGATTCTGTAGAAAAATGTGATGCTGTAGTTGCAGATTTAAAAAAGTAAAACATAAAACTATCATAAAATAAAATACAATTAAATTTCTCTTCATTTTTAAATCAGGCAGTGCATTAAGAATCCGGTTTTAGGATTTGACTGTGAGTGGATTACCGTAAATGGCAAACGCAGACCTGTAGCCTTATTGCAGTTGGCAACAGACAATGGTTTATGCGCCCTGTTTCGCCTGTGTCATCTTCGTCCCATACCAGTATGTTTACGTGAATTGTTACTAAATGATCGTATTCTAAAAGTTGGTGTGGATTCGCATGAAGATGCCAAAAAGTTGGCTTTTGACTATTCTCTTTGTGTATCGGGTACATACGATCTGCGCTTCTTAGCAAAGGAAAACGGATATAAAGCAGAAGGTTTAGCGAAATTAGCTAAAAGTCATCTCAATGTGGTACTTGACAAAAATTGGCGCCTATCTTGCTCAAACTGGGAGGCAGTAGAGTTGACTTCGGCGCAGTTAAACTATGCCGCCAATGATGCACTAGTTGCTGTCAAAATATTCAATAAACTGTTTTCACAATTAAAGAAAACGTGTGTAATTTAAATTCATAAATTATTAAACTGAAAGTAATTTTTTGTTTATTTGTAGATGGTACGAAAGGACTGACTACATGGCCATACATCAACTTCTTGAATACCAAATTGATACACGGTTCAATGCTAAACTTGAAAACCGGCAAAAATGCTCGCCCATAACTGATACAGCAGAAAAAGGTAATCAAATAAAGCGTAAAACGTATACTGGCATACGTGCTAGTAATTTATATGATAATACACAGTTACAAGCACCCGACGGAGAACTGTTAGGAGTGATTGACTACAAAAAAGCCAAATGGTATATAGACAATGGTTTAGCTACTGAAATTGCAACAAATCCATATATTGCGCGTCTTAACTTCGAACCCGCAGCTCGTCCAGTTGGTAGTGTAGGTCAGTATTATAAAATATCTAAAGATAATCAGTGTGTTGTGTGTGGTAAAACAGACACATTTGTACGCAAAAATGTTGTGCCACGTGAATACAGAAAACACTTCCCTGGTAAGCACAAATAATTTTATAAAGTGTTCATTTTAATTATGGTTTTTGTATTTAACAGATGTCATGAAATCGCATAGTTCACATGATGTTCTATTGCTATGTCCGCAATGCCATGAAAAGAGTAACATATCTGATCTAGCCATACGCACTTATTTAGCAAATCTATGCAATGCTCCAATCTCCCATAATAACACAGCTATTAAATCTTTTGAAATACCAAAACTAAAGTAATATTATTTATATACAGTTTCTTACTTTCAATTTTAATTAAAATACTAAGTTTAATATTGATTAATAATAATATTATTTATTTATAGATCAGTGAAATCTGCCGGACGCGCAATTTTAAATCATTCAGAGAAGCTACCAGAAGCGCGAAAAAATGAACTGCTTGAAGTTTTAAAAAATTATTTTAGTTGTGATAACATTGACGAGGATCAATTGCTAATAGCTTCTGAATTAAATACAAAGTAAGATATTGCCTAAAATTTTATTTCCATTTTATTTTATCGGGTTTTATTGAGTGAAGCTAAGGAAGGCATATGAATCGATGATCCATTAATGTATATCCAAAGTAATATTTCTTTATAAAAAATTATTCCATTGGGTAATGCCCCTCTTCACACCTTTTCTTCATCAGTTTATATGCACATAAGCTTGGCTTTGCTTTTAAATGTAATGTAAAACTATTTATAAAAATAATTGCTATACATTTTTTAATTAATATATAATTATATTATTAATGTATATTTTTCATAAGAAATTAAATTATTTTTATTATTAATTAATTTTTGTTATTAATTTAATTTTTATTATTAATTTAATTGTTGTTAATTGAATAGTTTATATAAGTTAATAGGTATTTGTTAATTGATTAATTTTTGTTAATTAATTAATTTTTATAATTAATTAAGTTTCGTTGATTTATTTATATTGGTTAATAGGTGTGTGTTAGTTGACTAATTTATATTAACTAATTAGTTTTTGTTAATTAATTATTTTTATCAATTAAGTTTTATTAATTAATTATTTTTTATTAATTAATTAGGTTTTATTTGAGTTATTTATATTAGATAAAAGGTGTTTGTTTGTTAATTAATTTATATTAATTAATTAATTTTTATTAATTAATTAATTTTTGTTAATTAATTAATTTTTGTTAATTAATTAATTTTTGTTTATTAATTTTTGTTAACTAATAAATTTTTATTAATTTTTTTTAATTATTTTTATTAATTAATTAATTTTTGTTGATTGATTAATTTTTTATTAAATTAATTTTTATTAATTAATTTTTGTTTATTAATTAATTTCTATTAATTAACTAATTTTTGTTAATTAATAAATTTTTATTAATTGTTTTTTGTCATTAATTTATATTAATATCAATTAATATATGTTGTATTCAATGTCTCTTGTCATTTGAATAACATTAAACAAAAAAATTTTTGTTTTTTTCTGCTATTAATTAATTATATATTACGAATGTATTATTT